CTTATTAAACTTTTGTTTTTGTTTTACATACATTTTCGTTACAATGATGATGTCATGTTTATTGAAATTATTATCTCATACCATAACATCGACTCTTCCTTACAGTATGTGAATAAATTAACTAACACTTTTATAGAATGATTTGATTTATTTTATTTATTTACATTAATATTTTTGATTCGTACTTGGAAATAGGTCCACGATGAAGAATATTATTTTTTTAGAAATTAGAATTTTTTTTATTTAATTACTTATTTTAAACTAAACATTTTGGAAAAAAATATTTGTTTAAAACAGCAATAATAAAAATATATAATAATAATATTTATTATATAGGATAGTTTTTTCAATTTCTGATTTTTTGAAATATTTTTTTAATAATAAATATTTTTGTTTATCACTATTTAAGACCAAGTTTAATGGCTGAGTAAAAATAAAATGCAAAAATTAGTAAAATTAGTAAAAAATAATAAGTTTTTTCTTATAAAGTTATGCTTTAGGGGTTTTTGTTATATATAAAACAAAAACAAAAGTTATAACTTTCAAATACTAAAATAATAAAAAACAAAATCTTAGCAATTGTTTTATCTGATAATGCTTTAAAAGAAATGACTTTGTTGGTTACTCAGTGGCGGATATTGTCGTATGGTTTTATAAAGAAAAATAAGTTACAACTCTTGTTTTTATTTATTTTTTTAAAATTTGTTTTTTATTCTTAACAAAATTTCCCTCTTGCGTGTTTTTGTATCTCTTTCCGTATTCCCGTAATTAAACCTAGAATAAGCCATTAAAAGATTAAATAAAACAGGTTTTCGAAAGTTAAGTCCTTTATAGGGGACTTTAAGCCCGCCGTCCGTTTGTACCCCTTATTCGTTCAATGCATTTAGTTGGCTTCTAGTACCAGAACTCAAGGGGTAAGGATGGAACTAAAAGACCACTTAAATTAAAAAAAAAAATTCTAAACACCTTGTAACTTAAGTAAAGTCTATGGAGTTTCGTTTTCAATTAAAAACGAGTCTGCATGTTCTGAGGTTCCGATAATATATTCCAATATTTCCAATGAATGCACTGATAAAAAAATACATACCTACTGGATCGTTGGTTATTTTGACGCCATGGCGTCACATTACATATTATATTGTGGCGCGCCACAATATAATATGTAATATGTATAATGTTTTATTACATTTCTTATGTAATTGTATATTTTTTATGTAAATTATCGTTGTGTAAATTTACATGATTAAATCTAATTTTCCAAAGTTAACTAAAATTTCAATTTTAACTTTAATGTGGTTTATAGAGTATTTTTAATATAAGAGTATGTAATATTACGATATACCAAAAGTATTTTTAACATATTTGCTAATGTCTTTTTACATTTGAACTACCGGAAAACAAGGGGTGGTTCAGATAATTGCCGTCAAAAATATACAAGAACTTCACGCTGTTTAAAGTTACTCGCCCTCTTTAATTTTTTTTTTGATAACTATTTTCTATAAAATATTTATATTATTACTGATTGTATCATTTTTGTAATTATACTGTTTTTTTGATAGAATCTGGCATCACTGCCGATAAGCACAGTGTAAGAGATCATTGATCCCGTCGTGCGCTCATACTGCGCTCATCGCGTGGGCGCGCACGGCTATGCTACTCATATGCGTGTGAAATCGACCGCACGTGTGCGTTCTCACGCCGTGCGACCTACGTGCGACGCACGATTGTTATCTGGGTTATTTTGTGTATATTGTGCTTCTTTATTATTTTATAGGTGTATACATATCTATAGATATGGGTATGTTTTTAAATAAAAATACGTACATAAATATCTTTTATACAGTTTATTACTTTTTATTTTTTGTTTCACACATTAATTTAAAAATATCGCATTATTAAAATAAATTTACCAAAAAAAATCTATCTGTTCAAATTGTTCTCTTGATACGTGGATAAATATGTAGAACTTGTACGTACATATCCGTAAAAGTTTCTATTTCCTCCTCTATATTTGCTTCTGCAGCGGATATCTAAAAAACCGTCATAATTTTGAAAATGTTTTTCCCATTCTAAAACTGTATAGGTCTTCTCTCGTGTCAACAATTTGTTCATTGTCGTGACTTTAAAAAAAATCTCCAATATTTATTTTAAAAAGAACACTACACAAACAAATATAACCTATAAACCGCGATAACTGGTAGTTAATTCACTATCTGACACTTGCAGCTTCCAGTTAAATTTACTTCCAGTTATCTTAATTTAAGTTTTTAGTAAACGTTAGTTGCATATTGATAAACAGTTTAGCTACCACTTTAATTTTATTTACCAGTTAAGACACTTAACTGGACATTGATAAACTGGCTCTGAAGCCCGCTGCACAATAGCCAGGTAACGGGAACGGGCACGGGAATCACATTAAAGGTGGGAAAGACTAAAAAACCACTGTTGATAGATAGGTCTCTCCCACCTTTACCGTTTAGTTTCTCGTTCCCGTTGCCGGGCTGTTGTGCAGCGGGCTTTAGATTTTCTTTTTTATATAATAGTTTTGTAGGCAGTTAAACTTGAAGATAAATTTAACTTAAGTTACCTTTCGATGTTTTTATAATTTTAACTCAGGGGCCGATTATCGGCCGCCGATACTACAGGATAGGTATGTTTAAAACGGGACGGTTTTTGACTTTTACAACCCCCTTAAATCCTTAACCTATAGTGAAACAACGAGCTAACATTGATATCTTTTTGCAATATTTTTTCCGATGTTTTTGTCTTTAAAACATACATAGCAGAGATTCGCAAATATCAGAGAGCAAATATCAAACACAGTCAGTCCAATATTTTTTATTAGCAAATTCTATCACATTTATCAAAATTTTCGGGAAAATAAGAGTCCATTTAAAATAATTAAGTCAAAATATTATAGGTACCTTAAATTATAGGCAATATATATAACTACTTAGGTAGGTACTACTACATCTCTTTTTTAAATAAATACTTTAATCACGTATTTTTTAATTTCTGAAAATGGACTTTGCTGGGTTAAAAATAATAAAATAATGTTATTTTATTGGAGAAAAAACGTAATATTTGTTACGCATTGTTATTGGTGACGCCACTTGTTAATGAAATTATGAATGGCACAAGTTTTGAGTCAATACTTTCAGAAAAAAGATTGTTGTTTTTAAATAATTATGATTTTAATTTATATTTTAAAATAATCTGCCATTTAAATAAAAAATAATAAATCTATGTTTAAAAAATGGATATTTTTAATTCGATGTTTTTTTAATATTGATAGTATTTATATTTATAAATTAGTATTATTTACTGTTAACAACGATGTTTTAAAAATTTGCGCATCCCTAAATGATGTTTTTCCGTGGTTTGCCCTTTGCGCCAAGTCTATATAGACCACATATGTGGTCTCTATAAAAATAAAAACTTTCCTCTTCGAACAGTAAGACATAGCTAACTTACTAAATCTACCTACTTTTACCAATGTTTATTTTACAAAAAATTATGTTTAAAATACATACAGTGTTTTACATTTGTGATCCATTAGAAGTTTCTGGGGAAGGAAAGAAGATAACGATTTGAAATTTTAAAATAGTTTATAATCCAAGTCTATTTTTCTAAAATATTTTGAACAAAATGCCACTTCCGGTGTGCCCGGAAGTGAAATCAACTTTTTTATTTCAAATAGAACACCCCATAAATTTTTACATTTTTAAATTCTACTCACCCGTCACAGGTTTCATGATACAAAATAATATTCAAAATTTTAGAAATTATTAACTTTAGGTATGGGGAATAGTTACATTAATTAAAAGGTTTTTTAATTTACTATTTGATTATGTAGAAACATACAGGGTGTTACAGTTAAAATAAAAAAGTTATTAACGTTTCAAGTTAGCTTAATTTGAGCTGGGGTTACTTAGGTAATTAAAAAAAAATATTAAAAAATTGACATGAAATCTTTAAAACAATGTTTTAAGATTTCAAAAATTCCACCCCCATATTCGCAAACCTAATAACAATAACTATTCATTTTTAAATTCTTCATAGTATTAATTATTAATAACTCAAAAACTATGAAGAATTTAAAAATGATAAAAAACATGGGGTGTTCTCTTTGAAATAACAAAGTTGATGTCACTTTCGGTCAAACAGGAAGTGGCATATTTTAGAAAAATAGACTTCGAAGTGAGTAAGCTTTAACGCTTTAAACATTTCAAATCGATATCTTTTGCCGATCCCGATAACTTTTGATGGACCACGAATGTGAAACACCCTGTTTATATATTTATATATATATATTTTTTATTCTTTCTGCTGATTTTTTTTATGAAAAATGCGGAATATCACGTACCTAGTAAATTAAATTGTAAAATTTGCATAATTTAAATTAATAAAATGGAAGTACTGTTGATACTGGTGCTTTTATTTTACTTATCTTAAAAAATACAATACATCAATTACAAATGATAATATCTTTTTAATGGAAAATCATTGTTTTTAATTGTATAAATAAAATAATTCTAAATGAAAGGCTTTAACAAAGAAATTACTTAAAAAGTAAATAATTTCTTTGAATAAATACTTGCAGTTTAAATTAATCTTAAATTAAACCACTTATAACTTAAGTACTGCTCAACTGTGAAAGTTATAGAACAAATTTATTATATATAGGTAAGGTCATTCTCAATTTTCGCCGTTTACATGTTCTGCTAGATCAGTTTTTTTCTAAGCTATTAACATTATAAGTGTTTGATACCGCAAAAGTTTCTATAAATCATCATTATTTTGTCTGGTAATGATGGTTATAATAATTATTAATCTTCTTAATGCTCTGTGAGACGGACAGTGAACTTTTTTGAAGAATTGAATCGACACATGTTTTAACTAGGTACACTTTCTTTTTTAAGAAATCTTGTCACTTTATTTGTTAATGTAATTATTGTTATTATTACTTTTAAGGTAACCTAAAATACTTTTGTTTTTAGTTATGGTTTCGTGGTGTGAGAAGTTCAAAATTTCGACACGTGTACGGGGAGCCGGCGCGCAGGGAAAAGTGTTACGATAACCTACAAATAACGCGCAATGCTCACGACTCTCAGTTCTGCGCAGTCAATCCGAAGTTCGTAGCGATTGTAACCGAAGTGGCCGGAGGCGGTGCCTTCGTTGTCATACCAATCACTAGTGTAAGTATATTATTATTAAAAAATATTTATCCTCAAGCTTTCTATAATTTAAACTTTATTATTGCCAATACCAAGTGTCAGATCTACCTAACTTTACTCCCGAATAAAATCTGAGAGACACCCTGTAAACATGTATACAGGTACAATTTATTATTATATCATTGTCGCGCCGCCAATTTTAAATTAACCGGCACGGCAGTGATAACTTACATAATACGCTGTGCCTAGTCTCACGCTAGCGTGAACGCAATTTTATTCTTATTCTCACGCGGTGACGTCACTAAAGGTAACCTAAGATTCTTTCAATAATCTAATTTGTTCTGTGAATCTAATTTTCGCGGTTTTGAGGTTTTTAAAACGTTGGCAGGCGGTTTGGCCGATTTGTGAAATCTGCCCTGTTACAAGTGTACGTAAAATGTATTGCCATGGACAAAAACAACAATAATGATGAGTTAAAACTAACTATTGGAAAATCGTTCATTTTGCCCATTTTAGTTGGGTTTTTTGCTCAATGGGGCGGGGGGGGATCAATGGGGCGGGGTCGGTTGGGTTGTGTTGTTGAGTTTGGGTTGGTTTGGCTACAGTAAAAGAGTCTCGATTTTATTATTAGTAACTTTTATTACATTTACATAATCAAATAATAATCAAATCAAATGATACGAATCCTAAAAAGTAAAACTAAATAAAATAATTCTGGCAGAATTATGTCCACTACACATGGGCTTTTTCTATTTTCGCCCCCCTCCTCAGTAGATGTCTAAAACCGCCCCTGGGCAAAGTTGGCAGCCTTAGGTTTAACCAAAAACCAAAAGGCTGTATTTATATATACGAAGTTAACGTGAAAATAAAATTAAAATTATTTTGACGTTAGCGTGAGAATAAAAATTAAATTGCGTTCACGTTAGCGTGAGAATAAGAATAAAATTGCGTTTACGCTAGCGTGAGACTAGACACAGCCTATATAATATGATAGTGTTCCTATGGAAACTAGGTACCAACATACTTAACTACTCGAGGCAAAACGCGCCAAACCCTTTACATATCTACCTCGACAAGCGATTTTGTTCAAACTCGTACAGTGTTCTTATACATAGGTGTCTGTTTTACCGTTGAGTGAAGTTACACCTTAATCAATGGTTTTACATTATACCCCACCTTATTTTTTTACGCCTTCAAAAAACCTAACCTTAAACATTTGTCTATTTTTTTTCTGACCATTTTTATTTTTAATTTCTTAAGTTTAATTTTAAGATTAAAGTACCCTTTAAACCCCACAAAATTCTTAATCTATTTTAAATCGTTTTTCTATCTTCAATTGTTTTTAAGATATTTAATTTCTTCCAAAAATTTTGTTAGTGACATACATTCGGGGTTTTCTATGGTGACATATAAAATGTCTGTATTACCAATATTTAGATTGATGTCTCTTTTAGTTCTCTATAGAAATATAATAAATCAGTTAGGTTAATCACATTAATATTGCTTATAAGCAATTACTTTGAATTCCGACCCATTATATGGTGGATTTAAAGGGGATAATTTAATCTTAAAATTAAGCTTAAGAAATTAAAAAATAAAAATGGTAGAAAAAGGTTTTTAAAAGGCGTAAGGAAATTAAGCATACACATATTTACGGGAACACTCTACGACTTTCCAAGTTTGAACAAAATAGCTTATGGACGTAGATAGGTAAAAGGTTTTACGCGTTTTGCATCGAGTATTTATCTTAGTACCTAGTTTTTATAGGTACAATATTGCTGATATTATATTGGTAATTAACGCTACGAATAACAAACTTGTGCGAGTACATACCTGCATTTTTCAATACACGATTGCACTTTTAACATCACAGCAGTCCGCAAGATTCACCTCTCTCCAGAAACACCTAAATAAGAACTGTAGCCTGGATAAATCAATTTGGGATACCCTTTACAGGGTCCTGCATACCACCTACCATCTTTTGTAGCTCAGTTGTTAAATAAGTTGGGATTTGAATATTTTTTTATATCGGCTTTGGCAAGCGCAAAATTTGAAAAATAATTTACCACTGAAATTTAGTTCTCGTAAATGTTAAAATTTAGTTGCTATGCAAATATAATAATATTAATATTTTCAATTGTAAAAAAATTATTAATAATTTTTTTGATTAAAAATTTAACATAAAGGTATAGATATTAATATTTTATTTGGAGGTTAGGGCCGCCTGAAAAATTTACGCCAAGGACGCCAAATTACAAACCATACATTTTTCTACTTATTTGGGAGCAAAGGCTTTTATGGTGTAATTGACCATATGCAAGGAATGCGGTCGATGTTGCCAATGGTAAAAAAATAAAATTCCCTATTGGGAACATTCAATTATATTACGTTGGCTACATTGAAAATTTGAATTTCCCGCACAAACTAAATTAATTTCCATCTTTTTTTTTTATTATAATAAATAATAATAATTCCCACATTTGAAATTCGCACCTTAATTTATTATACAACATTGTAACTACCTTCTTTATCTTTGGGAACTACTAGAATGTATGTCAGTTTGTGCGGGAAATTCAAAATTTCAGTGTAGCTAACGTAGGTAATATAATTGAATGTTCCCAATAGGGAATTTTATTTTTTTACCATTGGCAACATCGACCGCATTCCTTGCATATGGTCAATTGTCCTTACAAAATTATTAAAGTTAGTTGGCACAAATGTATGTCCAAAATTTATTAATTACCTATAAGTTATAATTTATAACTGTATAGCACATATTTTGTAATTCCCCAGTCTCTGTGTGACTGGTGTGTTTTTATTATCATTCTAAAATAATCAGTAGAAGTAGTGAGAATAAATTAAAAAATATTTTGACAGTTGCCAGGCAACACGTAAGCCTGGGGGGCTTGAGTATCTATTGCCAAATGACAACAGAGAAAAGATCTTGAGAATTATTTTAAATTTATAGATCTATCGTGAACACAACGTCCACAAAACGTTGAACGTTGGTCTCGCTGATTTTAAAGTGGTTTATCCCTCGGGTTCATGGCTGCCATGATTCCTTCTGTTTTGCTTGTAAGGATAAATCCAAAATCCAAAAATAAAACGGTGTTTTAATTGGTTGACCTGTGGCTAAGATCTTAACCAAATGAATAGTACTAAATAAAATTATATAATAATTTCAACTCAATCAGTCCAGTACTTTTTAAGATAAAGTGCCAACGAATTTGAAATTTTTTAATATTTAATACTTAAAAAAACAAGCACCGCTACCGCTGCTTTAGTATGTCTTTTAAAATCTATTAATTAGCGTTGATTATTTCTACTTAATACATATGTCTCAAATCTCAATAAATAAGACATTTCACACTTTTAAACTTGTTGTTTTTTTAGACTGGCAGATTAGATTTTAATGCTAGTCGCGTAACTGGACACACTGGTCCAATTTTGGACATAAAATGGAACCCATTTAACGACAATGTTATAGCATCCTGCTCTGATGACTGCACAGTAAGTTTTTTTACAAGCAATAAAACCATAAAAACATATATCATAACTGTTTTAGATTAAACTATGGCACATTCCAGACGAAGGTTTATCAGTTCACCTCACGGACTGGCTGGTAGAACTACAGGGGCACAAACGGCGGGTTGCCTACATCGAATGGCATCCAACTGCAGAAAATATTTTGTTTAGTGCTGGATTTGATCATCTGGTAAATAAAAAAATTTTTACTATTTGTTTTCCCTAAATAAGAATACAATAATGCTTAGATATAAATAATTTTTATATTTATTTTGCATTTCTTTTGCCTTGTCAGGAATATGTAGGTACCTACAAGCTAAAATTAAATGTTATGTTATTAATTTTGTTAAACTACATTATTCTATTGGTTAAATTGCAAATCTCCTGCCATTTAAATAAGAACATTACTTTCAATATAGACCAAAACTTTTCATAAAAAACTAAGATAAGAGCAAACATTATATGTAATAATATTAAAAAGTTTTATAAAAGTCAAACAAATCTAATTTAAGGTAGTATCTCCATTTGAAACGTTTGATAAATAAATAACGGTTGGCTGTGACAGCAAATTCAGCGGTGCCAAAGTAGTATAATTAAAACGTTGTATTTTAATTAACAAAAAAACACAAATAAATGTATCATTAAAAAATTAAAAACAACATAAAAAGTAAATAATCAACAATATAAATTGTTAATTTTTGTTATAATGGCAAAATTAAGGTTTAAAACTGTAATATTTTTGTGTTTCTAAGTTGGCAGCACAAAATTTAAAATGGTAATTTTAAAAAGTGCTAAAAATAGTTTTTTGAGATTTTCATAAAAAATATTCTGAAATAATTAATCTCTAAGCCCTCAACATGATTCTTATTTGTTGCTTGAGTTTGAAAACGAGTTTTTGAAAAAATCTATGGAAAATAACACTTGTGCAGAAGTGTTATTTCTTACAGATTTTCAATGGATTCTTTTTAGTTTAATTTTTTATGGAAAAAAATCTCATTAGTGAGCTTGTGCGGTACTGGGTGTATGGGTGTCTAGAAATCTGTCCTGTAAAAAAATCTAAAATTATTTGTGAATGTGTCTGATGCTTCACAAAATCATATACTTAATTTTGAAAACATTATATGGAAACTCTTTAAATGGAGTATATACTACCTTAATAAGAATATCTAAGACCAGTTTATATAGGGGATCCTTGTAATTTACTGTGGGGATATCCTAGAATTACATAGTTTTGTTAAAATTTACTAGATTTTTTTGTAAATTAAAATATCTTGGGCTAACTGGAATAACAATTGCAACAGCTTAACATGCTGAAACTATAACAAAAAGAAATATATTAGATATCTATAAGTCTAGCTTTTTCAAAGTACTTACTTACAAGTACTATAAATAGATAAAAGTATCCAAAAAGTTTAAATAGCTCAGTTTTAGTATTGATGTACCTAATTTACATCTAATATTATTTTGTTCATATTTTAAATACAGGGTGGGCCAATGGAAAGTTTCCACCCCGATTTTCTCAGGTGTTACGAAAAAAAATAAAAAACGCTCGCACCCGTCGATTTCTGATTTGAGGGGGACAATTTATTTTTATATTTTCAACCCCTTAACTTCAACCCCTAAGCGTGGGTGATAGTTACCCCCAAAATTTAAATAGGAAAGGGGGGTCGAATGATACTTCATTTTGAAGGTATTTTTGCCCTGATTATACCCTCCAAGTTTGAACTCGCTGCTAGCATCCCCGTTGATATGACAGCTTGTTAAAATCTTGGAAATAGATCACGTTTTATTATAAGTAAAAACAATACTTACCTTCCTTAATAAAAATATCTACTAATTAAAGTTTTATTATTATTAATAAAAAGTTATTTACATGATATTTATTTAATAAACTGTTCAAAATGTCCTCCATTAACATTCATGCAATAATAAAATCGATTCTCTACCTCTTCTCTAACATTCTGCAACATATCGGTAGTTATCCTTTGACACTCTTCAGTTATTCGTTCTTGTAGAACTTGAAGAGAAGCTGGCTGTGTTTTATAAATTTTAGACTTCAAATGGCCCCATAGAAAGAAGTCCAGAGGTGAAAGATCAGGGGACCTTGCAGGCCACTCAATAGGTCCTCTTCGGCCAATCCAAAGGTCTCTAAAATTTTCATTTAGAAATTGCTGAACGGGTGCTGCATAATGCGATGGGGCTCCATCTTGTTGAAAAAACATTTCATTTTGCGACAAATTATTATCTTCAGCAATAACTTCCCTTATTCTAGGAACAATATTTTCTTCAAGTAAAGTCAGATACATAGCCTCAGTGAAATTGCCTTGTAAAAAGAATAGTCCAATTATGTTATTGCCTAGAATACCTGCCCAGACATTTAACTTTTCAGGATTTTGAGTATAAGAGTCTTATTATAAGACTCTCTAAATAAATGTGGATTTGAATCGCTCCAGTATCGACAATTATGTCGATTGACTAAACCATGTAAAAAAAGGAGCATTCATCTGAAAAGCAGACATTATAAAGAAAATTTAGATTGTCAACACACCGTTCACTCATTTCTTCTACAAATTGTAATCGTCGATCATAATCATCTTCATTAAGTTCGTGAAGCAATTGTATCTTGTAGGGGTAAAATTTGTGAACCTTCAAAATTCTCCTTACGCTTGTTCGTGATATGCCGGAAACTTCGGACAATAATTGCCTAGTACTGAAGGTGTTATCCATTGCAATGTGCCCTATGACTACGATTTGCATACCTTCATTCCTAACGACACGAATCGGATTATCTTTTTTGTTCTCCACTGTTCCAGTTTCCAAAAACTTTACCATCAGTTTCCTAATATAAGTATGAGAGACATTTTTGTCCTGATGTCTTACATTAAATAGTCGTGCTGTTTGTCTTGCACAGTCATTGTTTTTGAAATAAGTATAAACTAATTCAACTCGCTCGGCTATAGTGTATACCATAATTAAATTTAGTTATAAGCTCTCGAACTAACGATAATAATCTTAATGATGATTGTGCGACAATATTGTGTAAATAAAGTTTACAAAAAACACATTTTTTTCTTCAAACGTAAAAAAACTGATGTTTTGCTAATATTTACTTCATTCCTTCAGCATACCTACAGACCGTCTCAAAAGTATCGCTTTTACTCTTACTAAAATAATAGCCAATTTTCAAGATTTTAGCAAGCTCTCATATTAATGGGGATGATAGCAGCGAGTTTAAACTTGGAGGGTATAATCAGGGCAAAAATACCTTCAAAAAGAAGTATCACTCGACCCCCTTTTCCTATTCAAATTTTGGGGGTAACTTTAACCCACGCTCAGGGGTTGAAGTTAAGGGGTTGAAAATATAAAAACAAATTGTCCCCCTCAAATCAGAAATCGACGGGTGCGAGCGTTTTTTATTTTTTTTCGTAACACCTGAGAAAACCGGGTGGAAACTTTCCATTGGCCCACCCTGTATATAATAGTATATTATGTATTAAGTTTTATAAACGATATTTTACTTACGAGTTTTATTAGGCACGAGCAGCGAAGCTTGCGAGCGAGTGTTTAATAAAACGAGTGTCTGAAGAAGTTTATAAAACTTGATACATAATATACTATTATCTACGACGAACACAAAGAAGCCAATTTTATTTGTTAAACATTTGACATCTGTCAAATTTAAACGGATTTAACCTCACTTTTCCCTAATTTTTAATGAAGCTAACATCAGCCTGTGACTAAAATGCCCAAAAGCCACTATTGCTAACTTAAGCCCGTGACTATAACGTCATAAAGCTTGTCAATGTAGTAGTAGATAATAGATATACTAATATTCTATAAAAAATTTGAAATACGGCATATTCCGCTCGGATGAAAAGTTTGTCGCACGAGCCGAAGGCGAGTTTGGCGGTTTCACGAGAGCGGAGTATGCGATTCCAAACGTGTTTTAGACCATATTTTTTATGTTTCCAAAAAATACCATAGAAAAATAATTTAATTGGGAGAAATTGAGGTTTGATCAGTCTAAAATTTGTTATTTATTAAACACAGAGATGTCGCCACCAGTGTTTATTCCGTCATCGGATGATAGAATAATTCATTCTGAGTAAGATCACCTCAACTGGACCACCCATTTCCCACTTGATCGTGAAATTCAAATTATTATATTTCAAGATAAAGTAGTCACTATCAATAATGAAACCCTAAAACAGTTTTTTAAAATTTTTTTTTAATATCAATTTTTTTTTTAAATGAAAATTTTGGAGACTTTTAATTAAAACATAGATTTCAGAAAAACCGTTGGAGATATTTTAATCAAATTTTAAGGATTTATTGTTTATTATTCACATTTTAAGAAATAATTCAAAATTTGAAATTATTTATTTATTATCATATTTTTAATTAACTTTTAAATAAACAAATGAAAATTGTTATGACTTCTACCTCAAATTATAAAAAAAAATGTTCAGTTACATGCATTGTACACTTTAGTTAAATATTCTGCAAGAAAATTCCACTGCCCGCTATTAGTTTAAACAATGTGAATTTATTTATCCCCGAGCGCGAGCGCTGTCGGTATAGCGCGCTGCCGCGCGCTATAGACTCGGCCTCGGCTGCAATCAGTATTGTTAGAAAATAAACTCTCTCTTTTACAATAAGAAACAATGTTGTTTAACAAAATTAATTTTTTTAATGTTATAATTAAATGACACATACATTTCTCATCAGCATGTTTGTATTTTATTATAAGGGCCAGTATATTTACCTTCCACTAAACCTACCCTATGCTTAATTGTCATAGTTACAATTATGTCAACAATTGTGACAGTTCTCTCCAGGGCCGGCTAAACCCGGGTGCAGCGGGTTCAAAGCACCCGGGCGGCAGAGCATGAGGGGCGGCAAAACGAAACTAAATTCGAAACCAAAAAGGGTATCAATCAGTAAAAGTAAAAAATCAGAGGAAGCGTCACATACGAAACTTTTGATGATTTTCTCTCGTAGGTCGAAAACTCCATGTCTTCAGTTTCCAATATATACCTATTTTGGTTAATGTTTGTTTTTTTTATATTTTCCTGGATGTCTTGGACGTAAATAGTAAATATATATGAAATTGAAATCATTGTTGGTTAAGCAGCGGTTTAGTTATAGTCTATGTTTAGCTTAGCATTGGGTATTCTACTAGTTAAGACA